GAACACCTACTCATTCAAGGGTTTTTCTCTATTTTTACTATTTTCTACATTGTAGAATAATAGTGAAGATATCAAAACTATGAAATAACACATATGGAATCATGTAGTAACCAAAAAAGTGTTAAACAAATCAAAATCTATATTATATTTCAGATTGTTCAAATAGCCACCCTTTGCCTTGATGACAGCTTTGCACACTCTTGGCATTCTCGCAACCAGCTTCATGAGGTAGTCACCTGGAATGCGGGGGGCAGGTAGCTTAGTGGTTAAGAGCGTTGTGCCAGTACCCGAAAGGTCACTGGTTCTAATCCCCGAGCCGACTAGGTGAAAAATCTGCCGATGTGCCCTTGAGCAAGGCACTTAACCCTAACTGCTCCTGTAAGTCGCTCTGGATAAGAGAATCTGCTAAATGACTAAAATGTAAATGTAATGTAAATGAATGCATTTCAATTAACAGGTGTGCCCTTGTGCAATTGTTTTCCTTCTTAATGCGTTTGAGCCAATCAGTTGTGTTGTGACAAGGTAGGTAGGTAGGTGGGTGGGTGGGTGGGTGGGGGGGTATACAGAAGATAGCCCTATTTGGTAAAAGACCAAGTCCATATAATGGCAAGAACAGCTCAAATAAGCAAAGAGAAATGACAGTCCATCATTACTTTAAGACATGAAGGTCAGTCAATACAGGAAATGTAAAGAACTTTGAAAGTTTATTCAAGTGCAGTCGCAAAAACCATCAAGCACTATGATGAAACTATCTCTCATGAGGACCACCACAGATATGGAAGACCCAGAGTTACCTCTGCTGCAGAGGATAAGTTCATTAGAGTTACCAGCCTCAGAAATTGCAGTCCAAATAAATACTTCACAGAATTCAAGTTACAGACACATCTCAACATCAACTGTTCAGAGGAGACTGCGTGGATCAGGCCTTCATGGTCGAATTGCTGCAAAGGACACCAATAAGAAGAAGAGACTTGCTTGGGCCAAGAAACTGAGCAATGGACATTAGACCGGTGGAAATGTGTCCTTTGATCTGGAGTCCAAATTGGAGATTTTTGGTTCCAATCACTGTGTCTTTGTGAGACGCGGTGTGGGTGAACGGATGATCTCCGCATGTGTATTTCCCACCGTAAAGCATGGAGGAGGAGGCATTCTGCAGCGATACGCCATCCCATCTGGTTTGGGCTAAGTGGGACAATCATTTGTTTTTCAACAGGACAATGACCCAAGAAGGAGAGTGATGGAGTGCTGCATTAGATGACCTGGCCTCCACAATCCCATGACCTCAACCAAATTGAGATGGTTTGGGATGAGTTGGACCGCAGAGTGAAGGAAAAGCAGCCAACAAGTGCTCAGCATATGTGGGAGCATTCCAGGTGAAACTGGTTGAGAGAATGCCAAGAGTGTGCTAAGCTTTCATCAAGGCAAAGGGTGGCTATTTGAATAATCACTTTTTTGGTTACTACATGATTCCATATGTGTTATTTCATAGTTTTGAGGTCTTCACTATTATTCTACAATGTAGAAAATAGTAAAAAATCAAGGAAAACCCTTGAATGAGTAGGTGTTCTAAATCTTTTGACTGGTAGTGTATATGGGTACACATTGATCTTCAGTGTTACAAGTCCCTAATTGGACAGAACCATGTGGGATAGGCCCAGAATGAGACAGCAGAGAAGAATGATGATACTCCCTTTAATTGATCAGGGCCTTGCTGCTATCACAACACTCAGAGGACTTGTTGAAGTCATACAACATAACTAACTAGAAGTTACTAACTGGTGTTAGGCTTCTGTGTTTCTTTTGCTACTAATCTCGGCACCCAGAACCAAATCTTGCATTCATATAGCATACATAACATTTTTACTATAACAGTGTCGGGGCAATAGTGTGGGATCTTGATGTGACAGCAAGCAATTCTCCAATTTTTTGATTAAGCTAGAGCATCATATATGATTCATTATGTAACTAACTAGCTATGTCTTCAGAAATATAAATCACATTATTTTTGGAAAGCTTTTGATGATTTTCTACAACTTCGATCTGTTTCTATGGTAACATACAGTTCATACTTAATGCTGTAGGCCTATATGACATGGTATGACTCAAAATGAGACATTCTTAAAGAGTTTCCGTTTGCAGGTTTGCAGCTGAGACAGCCTGCATATTATGTTATCTTTACATGACTACATTTGATTATTTTATCCATAGTGTATTTTTTATGTCGTATGGATTTATATCTGTCTTCCTCAAAACTGTTGCTATTGTGTTATTGTGTTATTGACTGTTGACTGTTGTTGTTGTTTTTATTGCACTGCTTTGCTTTATCTTGGCCAGGTCACAGTTGTAAATGAGAACTTGTTCTCAACTGGCTTACCTGGTTAAATAAAGGTGAAATAAAATAAAATAAAATAAATACAATTGGATTTCCATAATTATATTTAGCATAGCGTCCCCTAAGTTGACTCTTTGGAATAATAACTCCTGTTTTATTGCTAAAAGTATTAAATGCACAAGCTTTTTGGTTTTGCATGTAAAACTTTGCTGTGCCTAAAGAGTCTGTTGTGAGTCATTTCCAGGTAGACTCAATAAGACGTTTAATCATCAAACACTATGAAATACCTTAAAAATACATATCAAATAGAGCTTTCTCTCTCATTAACTTTACATGGAGTTTCTTGCAAAGTTTTGACTACATTATAAACTTCTGTAAAATATGCAGAGATATAATCAGTGTTTGCATAGGAATGAACCGTAGCACCACAGATAGAACAATGAGACAGATAGGATAGAACAATGAGACAGATATTTTACCGGATGTGTAAATGTGAATCATCCGGTTGGCGTTTCCACTCACCAAATATGTGACCCACCACCTGAATTCTGTCCTATGTAGCAAAATGTTAAATTATGTTTTTTTACATTGGATAAAAGTAGAGACTCAGACCTAGAAAATTGTATATCAAACACTGCAGTTGAGGAACAATGGGTAAGTCATTCTGCTTTGAAAGTTGATAAACTTGTAACCTCACTATTGGTACACCTACTGGAGAGCTCTTTTTTGTCTACACCCATTCAGCATCGTTCACACCCTCTTAAGCCTCACCCATCTCTTTAAGGATTCACATGTGAGGCCATGTTCTGAACAGAGTGAGTAGTGTAGTAAACATCCAAAGATTTCAAGACTAAAAGTGGTAAAAGTAGTAGCCTACAATCTCCTTAGCCTATATCCTAATCTGACTTTGGTGCAGGTCATGTTGTTCTTCACATTACCGTCTCTGGTAAACACACACTATATCAAATAAAATCTTATGTTTATTTGTCACATGCACAGGATACAGAAGGTGTAAACGGTACAGTGAAATGGTTACTTGCATATTTGCATAATAGCAATATCAAAACCAGAAAGTGTCCAGATAATTATTAGATGACGCTTACCCAGACACACTTGTCTAAATTGATGAGTCATGTGAAATAAATGTTATAACCACCCCCCAGCCACATCTAGCTAAGTGGATGGGTCACTATTGTCTAGACATGTACACATGTTCATGAAATACAATAGATGGCCATAATCACCCCCAGACACACCTGGCTAAATTCATGGTTCATGTAATCATCTGGCGCAGTGGTCTTTTGTTTAGACATTTAGCTAGCTAGCTAAACAATGAACCGGAATAATCTCAACTCATACTACTACCAATACAAACTGATTGTCATAGTTGTAGTATGAATCTGCAGGTAGCTAAAGCTAACCAACTAGGTTAGATGTTAGTTAGCTAGCTAACAGTATGCTTTAACTTGCAATGAAAATGACTTTCTGACAAAATTAGAAACTTATAACATCTGAAAATGTAGCTAGACTCTTACCCGTATACACAAATTAATGCTTCACAGCAGACTAGAACCATTTAACTCAGTTTTGTTTGAAGCTCATCTTGTTTGGCCAGCATTGTTTCAAGTCACTCCGGTTCACACTGACCGTGGCGTGTGCAGAAAGTAGCACTTCACAACTTTTTCCAACTGATCTGTCAATAGCGCCTGCAAAATTCAGGGCATCAATGTTATTTAAAAAAGTAGAAACACTTGTAGTTCTCGATGCTAATTTATCTTTCAAAAAGCCTTGGTAGAAAGGATTATCAACACATACTGAGCAGCTGACATTATAGACAGACGCATGCTACATGGCAGACCAATCCAAACTCATCTCCCGGCATGTCCAGCCCATCCATTATCTCAGCCAATCATGGCTAGCGGGAAGGTTGCTGTCTTTTTCCGAGGCTAAACCAACTAGGCTCGTAATTTAACATTTTTATTCGTATTTATGGATGGAATACACGTTTGTTATTAAGGCACATGAAAGTTCACATGTTCCAGAAGGCATGTCTGCCAAAAAACGCATAAAAAAATAATAATAAACAAAATGACGTTCAAATGCCTCTCCTGTGAAGTAGTGACGTGCGACATATGCCTAGATTCCTGAAACGGGTCACATATGGTGGTGAGAGGAAGCCCAGTGGCCGGCAGTGGGAGAAGATGGAGCGAGAAGGAATTTGGCAGATTTTCTGCTAATTTTCTCATCGATTAAACATTTGATCTCAATACAGTTTTCTGTTTCCAACACTAGAATCTGTTATGAACAGAGTGGACTAAGTTTTGTAGACTTTACCCTTTGCCAAAGTTTTTAAAAATGGCGTTGTTTAGAAGGAGTGCAAGGGAAAATTGAGTTATTTTACACGCACACTTCACAGAGTAGGCGTTCCCTAACCGAAATATGCAAATACATGCTAGAACACGCCAATAGGCTCTCGCTAGCTCGTGCTTGGCTCTGCCCACCTCCTTGCTTGTTCTACCCACTATGATTAATTTGCTCCCATTGGAAACGACAGGCTGTGGTCTATCTTGGGTTAGTTATAAAAATCTTTGGTAGCTCTGTGTTCATACCTCCAAGACAGCCCAGGTTATTGATCTGTTCTCTGTTTTGTTCTCTCTGTTTTCCAGGTTTCTTAAGCACAGGGGACCAAGCTTCCAAGGGAAACTACGGACTCCTTGATCTGATCCAAGCTCTGCGCTGGACTAGCGAGAATATTGCTTTTTTTGGTGGTGACCCTTTACGAATAACTGTTTTTGGATCAGGGGCTGGCGCCTCCTGTGTCAACCTCCTGACCCTGTCCCATTATTCTGAAGGTAACCGTTGGAGCAATTCAACCAAAGGTATAATGCAGAGGTTGCAACTTTTGAAAATTTTCGGTGTTGCATGCCACCTTCATTACTGTGTGGTTTGAGTTGATGTGGGTATTTTGTTCTGGAATGGCTGAATACGGGTGCTTTTGATTATGTGATTTGACATGCCACTGGACCTTGTATTTTGTAAAACTCTTGAATGTTTACTAATCCATGGAGGTTAAAGTTGACTAAAGCAATGACCATATATACTGTAGACTCTGATGGTATTCCATACCAGAATACCACACACAGCCCCACTTTATTTTGATTGTATCACTCTCTCATCTCCTAATCCACGTTCCCAGGGGAGCCCCAGTAAATGTTACCATGTCAGTGTCAGTGTATTGCTCCCTCTAATCTTATTGTCTTCAGAGATTAATTCCATACAAAAGTATGAATATTCATACCACAGTATGAAACACCATTCAGACGCAGTATGACAAATCCTAGTCACTGCTGCCAATGCAGGTGAATGACAACACTTTTACATCGAACAAGATTTGACAGCCCTTTTCACAGTGATATATGATAATTTCCTATGTATTCCTCTGAGCCATCACCACAGGGTCTCTGAGGGCTCTGCTCCTACAACTTTGTAACAATTGCTAAAGTGCATATTGAGATACACATAATAATAATAATAATAGTAATAATAATTTATTACGCTTTTATAGAGCTATTCATTACATAAAGAATCTCAAAGCGCTTTAAAGCAACACAAAAAATACAAGCAATTTAGAAAATGACAACAACAACATAATGAGATGGAAGGTCATGAGAGGGTTGGAAAGTTCATGGCTTGAGTGGTCATCGGAGGGAGGTGGTCAAAGGGGGAGAGCAAGCAAAGATGATCTCTGAAGCAAGTTCGGGGGCAGGCAGCACGGTGTCATCAAGGTGTCTCGCAGTCATTGCCGTCAGTGAGGCTTCTCCAGTTCATGGACTCCGTAGCAGGTGTAGCTAGGCTTCACTACTACCAAAATGAAGCACCCATTTGGGTGAAGCTACAGCAGTCATGTGGCGCCAGAAAACACACATTACAATGATAATGCAAGAGTAGCCTTGTAACTTAGTCCTCCTTAGGATCCTAGTCATGGCACACCTCAGCCGTCTTGCTTTCGGGCTTCTCTCCATCCTCAACCTCCGGACACACATTTTACATTTACATTTTAGTCATTTAGCAGACGCTCTTATCCAGAGCGACTTACAGTTAGTGCAGTCATCTTAAGATAGCTAGGTGGGACAACCACATATCACAGTCTTAGTAAGTCAATTTTTTCCTCAATAAGGTAGCTATCATCAAAGTCAGAGCTAGTAAGGGGGGGGGGGAAAGTCAAGTGCGAGTGAGGAGGTGGTTCGAGGGGGTGTGCTGTGGGAATATTTAAGATACTCTTTGAAGAGGTAGGGTTTCAGATGTTTTCAGAAGATGAGCAGGGACTCTGCTGTCCTAGCTTCAGGGAGAAGCTGGTTCCACCATTGGGGTGCCAGGACAGAGAACAGCTTGGACTGGGCTGAGTGGGAGCTGGCATCTCGTAGAGGTGGAAGGGCCAAGAGACCAGAGGTGGCAGAACAGAGTGCTCGGGTTGGGGTGTAGGGTTTGAGCATAGCCTGAAGGTAGGGAGGGGCAGTTCCTCTTGCTGCTCCATAGGCAAGTACCATGGTCTTGTAGTGGATGCGAGCTTCGACTGGAAGCCAGTGTAGTATGCGGAGTAGCGGGGGGCATGGGAGAACTTGGGAAGGTTGAACACCAGGCAGGCTGCACCGTTCTGGACAAGTTGCAGAAGTTTGATGGCACAAGCGGGGAGCCTAGCCAACAGTGAGTTACAGTAGTCCAGATGGGAGATGACAAGTGTCTGGATTAGGACCTGCGCCGCTTCCTGTGTGAGGTAGGGTCGTACTCTACTGATGTTGTAGAGCATGAACCTGCAGGAGCGAGTCACTGCTTTGATGTTTGCAGAGAGTGACAGGGTGTTAACAGTCCAGGGTCACACCAAGGTTATTTGAACTCTGGGAGGGGGACACCGTGGAGTTGTCATCCGTAATGGAGAGTTCTTGGAGCTGGCAGGACTTCTCCTGGAGGAAGAGCAGCTCCGTCTTGTTGAGCTTGAGGTGGTGGGCCGATATCTCTGCCATGTATGCAGGGATGCGTGTCGCCACCTGGGTGTCAGAAGGGGAGAAGGAGAAAAGTAGTTGAGTGTCATCCGCATAGCAATGATAGGATAGACCATTTGAGGATATATATGATGGAGCCGAGTGACTTGGTGTATAGAGAAAAGAGGAGAGGGCCTAGAAATTATCCCTGGGTGACACCAGTAGTGAGAGTACGTGGTGCAGACACAGTTCCTCTCCATGTCACCTGGTAGGAGCGGCCTGCCAGGTAGCATGCAATCCAAGAGTGTGCAGAGCCTGAGATGCCCAGCCTTGAGAGGGTGGAGAGGAGGATCTGATGGTTCACAGTTTCAAAGGCAGCGGATAGATCTAGGAGGATGAGAACAGAGGAGAGAGAGTCAGCTTCGGCAGTGCGGAGAGCCTCCGTGACACAGAGAAGAGCAGTCTCGGTTGAGTGACCCATCTTGAAGCTTGACTGGCTAGGGTCAAGAAGATCGTTCTGAGAGAGATAGTGAGAGAGTTGGTCAGAGACAGCACGCTCAAGTGTTTTGGAAAGAAAATACCGGTCTGTAGTTTTTGATGTGTCAAGTGTTGGTTTCTTGAGGAGGGGATCGACTCAGGCCATTTTGAAGTCAGAGGGGACGCAGCAAGTGGTCAGGGATGAGTTGATAGGGGAAGTGAGGAATGGGAGAAGGTCTGGAGAAGGGAGGAAGAGATGCAGTTGTGCGGGCAGGTTGTCTGGCGGCCGGACCTCACTAGTGGCATGATTTCATCTGGAGAGAGAGGGGAGAAAGAGGTCAAGGCGTAGGGTAGTTCTGTGTGAGTGGGACCAGTGGACTCAATAGGCTGAGTGAATGAGGAGCGGATTTCGTCAACCTTCTTTTCAAAGTGGTTGATGGCTGGCATTCGAATCAAAACAATTGCCAGCTAGCCAGTTTACATTAGCTAGCTAGCCAAACAAACAATTGACTTGCCAGATTCAGTCTAGAAACTCTGTGGTGGATTCTGATGACATTAATTAGATATATTAATTGCTCAATCTTAAAACAAAACGTTTGCAGGGAAAAATGCCAAAAAGTAATTAATTATACAAATATTTACAAAATGTACAGGAGCTCGCTGCCTAGGCGACCTCACGGCGCCATGACAACCCCGGAATCCACATACAGTGGGGAAAAAAAGTATTTAGTCAGCCACCAATTGTGCAAGTTCTCCCACTTAAAAAGATGATAGAGGCCTGTAATTTTCATCATAGGTACACGTCAACTATGACAGACAAATTGAGAAAAGAAAATCCAGAAAATCACATTGTAGGATTTTTAATGAATTTATTTGCAAATTATGGTGGAAAATAAGTATTTGGTCACCTACAAACAAGCAAGATTTCTGGCTCTCACAGACCTGTAACTTCTTCTTTAAGAGGCTTCTCTGTCCTCCACTCGTTACCTGTATTAATGGCAACTGTTTGAACTTGTTATCAGTATAAAAGACACCTGTCCACAACCTCAAACAGTCACACTCCAAACTCCACTATGGCCAAGACCAAAGAGCTGTCAAAGGACACCAGAAACAAAATTGTAGACCTGCACCAGGCTGGGAAGACTGAATCTGCAATAGGTAAGCAGCTTGGTTTGAAGAAATCAACTGTGGGAGAAATTATTAGGAAATGGAAGACATACAAGACCACTGATAATCTCCCTCGATCTGGGGCTCCACGCAAGATCTCACCCCGTGGGGTCAAAATGATCACAAGAACGGTGAGCAAAAATCCCAGAACCACACGAGGGGACCTAGTGAATGACCTGCAGAGAGCTGGGACCAAAGTAACAAAGCCTACCATCAGTAACACACTACGCCGCCAGGGACTCAAATCCTGCAGTGCCAGACGTGTCCCCCTGCTTAAGCCAGTACATGTCCAGGCCCGTCTGAAGTTTGCTAGAGTGCATTTGGATGATCCAGAAGAGGATTGGGAGAATGTCACATGGTCAGATGAAACCAAAATATAACTTTTTGGAAAAAACTCAACTCGTCGTGTTTGGAGGACAAAGAATGCTGAGTTGCATCCAAAGAACACCATACCTACTGTGAAGAATGGGGGTGGAAACATCATGCTTTGGGGCTGTTTTTCTGCAAAGGGACCAGGACGACTGATCCGTGTAAAGGAAAGAATGAATGGGGCCATGTATCGTGAGATTTTGAGTGAAAACCTCCTTCCATCAGCAAGGGCATTGAAGATGAAACGTGGCTGGGTCTTTCAGCATGACAATGATCCCAAACACACCGCCCGGGCAACGAAGGAGTGGTTTCGTAAGAAGCATTTCAAGGTCCTGGAGTGGCCTAGCCAGTCTCCAGATCTCAACCCCATAGAAAATCTTTGGAGGGAGTTGAAAGTCCGTGTTGCCCAGCGACAGCCCCAAAACATCACTGCTCTAGAGGAGATCTGCATGGAGGAATGGGCCAAAATACCAGCAACAGTGTGTGAAAACCTTGTGAAGACTTACAGAAAACGTTTGACCTGTGTCATTGCCAACAAAGGGTATATAACAAAGTATTGAGAAACTTTTGTTATTGACCAAATACTTATTCTCCACCATAATTTGCAAATAAATTCATAAAAAATCCTACAATGTGATTTTCTGGATTTTTTTTCCTCATTTTGTCTGTCATATTTGACGTGTACCTATGATGAAAATTACAGGCCTCTCTCATCTTTTTAAGTGGGAGAACCTGCACAGTTGGTGGCTGACTAAATACTTTTTCCCCCCACTGTATACTGTAGCTGATGGGAGTTACAATGTTACACGAGCTCATCACCTTAAGGCATCACATTGCACCGCTATCTGAATGTGCTTAATTTCCATCTTCTTCTGAATGTACATGTGTGGGTTAGATTGAAAGATTTCATATCAACATGTTTGAAGATTTTATAGTTAAACCAAGTTTTCTTTGTTAACCTCTACGGGATCGGTGTCCCGTATACGGGACGGTTGAGCTAACATGCGCTAATGTGATTAGCATGACTGTTGTAAGTAACAGAAAACTTTCCAGGACATAGACATGTCGTATGTGGGCAGAAAGCTTAAATTCTTGTTAATCTAAGTGCACTGTCCAATTTACAGTAGCTATTACAGTGAAGAAATACCATGCTATTGTTTGAGGAGAGTGCACAACAACAAAAAATGTATCACGGCAACTGGTTTGATACAATCACCTCTGAAGGTAAATAATGTACTTAGAGATAAAATGTACCATAGTTTTGTTTGATAAAATCCATTTTTATATTCAAATGTAGGAACTGGGTTCTACAGTTTGAACCCCTGCTGTCTCTGGCTCCACACCCACCCCGCCCGTTCATCTAGATGTGTGAAAGTTTGTGTATAAGCTAATGATCCATCATGTATGACATTCCTGGGAGTGTGTAAACTTACATTTTGTATTACCACATCATTTTTGTATGTTCTCTATAGTTATGTACTTGAAAATGTATCAATTGACCAATTCGACACATTTGGGCAGACTTGATAGAAAATAGTCAAGTATTGCAATGCTTCACTGGATCAATCTAAAACTTTGCACACACACTACTACCATCTAGTGGCCAAAATCTAAATTGCGCCTAAACTGCAATATTATATTGTGGCCTTTCTCTTGCATTTCAAAGATGATGGAACAAAAAAATCTAACGTGTTATATTCTCCTACATTAATTTCACATTTCCACAAACTTTGAAGTGTTAACTTTCAACTGGTATCAAGAATATGCATATCCTTGCTTCAGGTCCTGAGCTACAGGCAGTTTGATTTGGGTATGTCATTTTAGGCGAAACTTGAAAAAAAGGGTCCGATCCTTAAGAGGTATTAGAATGATAAAAATACATGTTTACATAAAAATACATGTGATTTCTTGTTTATAAAACAACATTTATAAAAAACATGAATTAGACACCTATTGCGATTTCCTCAATACTGAGCCCATGCGCTGTCATAGTAACACAGACCAGTTACCTCTCTTTACCTCTCTCTCTTTTTATCCATCTCATTCCTTATCATCCTACACTACATGGTTTATTCCTACCTGGCTTGTGTGGTGTGTGTCACGTGTGTTTGATCACATAATATATTATGACAGCAAGTTTTAATGAGCACTGTGCACCCTGTGTGAGAAAATGATACAGACAATGTTTTATGATAAGGCACATGGGTAGTTCATTATAAAAGCAGTAGTATACAGTATAGTATGAGTATGTATTAGTATGTAATATCATGATCATTCCTGTGTAAAATGGTGTAACATGTTTGTCTACAAACCTTGGCAAACAAACTCTGAAGTAGCAAGTCTGTCTGTTTGTAAAGCACTAATCACTGCTAACAATGCAGACGTCTGTCAAGGCAATAGACAAATGTTTCCCTCTGCTCTCCCAGGAATGGCACAATAAACTAATCCAGACAAACTGACTTTGATATTTTTAAGGTTTTGAGGAGAGTTATGTCTATTGCCAGCAAGTGTAATAATCAGCAAAATAATAATTATAAAAATGTATTCAACTTTTATAGTAAAAGTAGGCTGTTTATCAGTGAAATTATGAAAATGGTACGTTGTTCAAGTGCACATTTTGATGTAAGTGCAGTGGTAGATGCATGTTGTGTGTAATGCATTGTGATTCTATGAGGCGTTGTCTCACTCTGGTTGGCTTCTATCTTATCTCTCTGCAGGACTTTTCCAGAGAGCTATAGCACAGAGTGGCACTGCGTTGTCCAGCTGGGCCGTCAGCTTCCAGCCTGCTAAGTATGCTCGCATGTTGGCCAAGAAGGTGGGCTGCAACCTGAAAGACACAGTGGACCTGGTGGAGTGTCTGCAGAAGAAGCACTACAAGGAGCTGGTGGATCAGGACATCCAGCCTGCACGGTACCACATCGCCTTCGGGCCTGTTATCGACGGTGACGTCATCCCAGACGACCCCCAGATCCTCATGGAGCAGGGTGAGTTCCTCAACTATGACATCATGCTGGGCGTCAACCAGGGCGAAGGCCTGAAGTTCGTGGAGCTCATCGTAGACCATGAGAACGGCGTCCAGGCCAATGATTTTGACTACGCCGTGTCCAGCTTCGTGGACGACCTGTACGGTTACCCGGAGGGAAAGGACATTCTGCGGGAGACCATAAAGTTCATGTACACGGACTGGGCTGATAGGCACAACCCAGAGACCAGGAGGAAGACCCTACTAGCCCTGTTCACTGATCACCAGTGGGTGGCTCCGGCCGTGGCCACAGCAGACCTCCACTCCAGCTTTGGGTCGCCAACCTACTTCTATGCCTTCTACCACCACTGCCAGACAGACCAGGTGCCCCCCTGGGCAGACGCTTCCCACGGCGATGAGATCCCTTACGTGTTTGGCCTGCCCATGATTGGCCCCACAGAGCTGTTCCCTTGTAACTTCTCCAAGAACGACGTCATGCTCAGCGCTGTGGTGATGACCTACTGGACTAATTTTGCCAAAACTGGGTACGTGCAGTACTGAAACATATTTTAAGATGTCGTGTATGTGCGTGCATGCGTGTCATACTTACACATTTCTCTAGTTAATGAATTGAGTACCATTTGGTTGTGTTAATTTTTATGTTTTTAAAGCTTGGACAGAATATCAATGTGTATCATTGTCTCATCCCATATTCTTTAACATGCTGTTAATTAATAACAAATGACAGTTTCCTTGAGAGTGCAATTCTCAATAGGAAAACATTAGAATCCTTTTTTGCATTGCCTTTAAGCATGTAGTCATGGAAGTAATTGTTTTTTGGAGCATAATGGGGGACAATGGCTTTTTCCCTCTGCAGCCAAAGAGCCCAACGGCACCATCGGGATACTACTGATCTACATATATAACAGTAAATTAACATATAACACAGGGCACCTATGAGATTCATGCTTCCACATTCCATTTTGCCAGTTTATGATGTGTTCCGATTGGCTCCATATGCCATTCCCAAACAATGGTGCTCGTTCTGCTGGAATGAGCCTCCATTCCTCATGCTGGGTAGTGGTGCTTTACTCATACTAAGTTCCCTCTTTCCCTTGCAGTGACCCCAACCAGCCGGTCCCCCAGGATACCAAGTTCATCCACACCAAGCCTAACCGTTTCGAGGAGGTGGCGTGGACGCGCTACAACCAGAAGGACCAGCTGTACCTCCACATCGGCCTGAAGCCCCGAGTCAAGGAGCACTACCGGGCCAACAAGGTCAACCTGTGGCTGGAGCTGGTGCCACACCTCCACAGCCTGAACGAGGTCACCCAGATCATCTCCACCACCACCAAGGTCCCACCACCAGAGGTCACCCCCAGGACACCAAAGAAGATCCCTGTCAACACCAAGAGGCCTAACCCCACGCCCTTCCCCACCGAGACCCAGGACAGTCAGAACCAGCCCTTCCTGGTGGACCAGAGGGACTACTCCACAGAACTGAGCGTCACCATCGCCGTGGGCGCCTCGCTGCTCTTCCTCAACATCCTGGCCTTTGCAGCGCTCTACTACAAGAAGGACAAGCGGCGGCATGACGTTCACCGGCGCTGCAGCCCCCAGCGCAACACGACCAACGACCTGGCGCACACGCAGGAGGAGGAGATAATGTCCCTGCAGATGAAGCACACGGACCTGGACCACGAGTGCGATGCCATGCACCCACACAAGGTGGTTCTGAGAACTGCCTGCCCGCCAGACTACACGCTAGCCATGCGACGCTCTCCTGACGACATCCCCCTCATGACCCCAAACACCATCACCATGATCCCCAACACCATGCAGGGCCGCCAGTCCTTGCACAACTTCAACACCTTCCCCAGTAGTGGACAGAACAGCACCCTGCCTCACACCCTGCCTCACCCGCACTCACACTCCACCACCAGGGTATAGCCGGACGGACGCTGACATACACAGCACATGCCAGAGCTCACACCCAGCCTGAATCAAACAGATGTGGATTAACTTCTACTCCTGTGAATATATGAAAGGAATATAGGGATGTTGCTGGGACGGGAGAAGAATTTCATTTTATATAAAAGAAGATATGATTAAAAGTACAAAAATATTTCAAATGAAAAATTAAACAAAGAGAAGGATCATTTTTATTTCTGGTATTGCAACAAAACAAGGTCAACTTTTCCAGCTATAGATATCACCTTCGGAATTTTATAAACTATTGCTTGATCCTGTTATCTTGGAAAAGAGAGAAACCTCAGTGGAGCCTCAGAGGAGTAGCAGGGCCGCTTTGTAAATGAAAGAAAACATATTGTTTTCCTGACGAATCAAACTGTAGATTACTCTTTCTGGAGCCAAGAGGAGATGCCACTTTACCAATTTAGGCATGTGTTACTCTACAAGTAGAGGCAATGTAAGATATCACAAAAACTATCTAGAGAGAGGGGGAAAACTCTTAAAGAATATGCACAATGTAGACATTTTTAAAATGTCTTGGATTCTTTTCATCAATTTATTTTTGGGGAACAGTTTTATTGTATAGAACCTATTTACATATCTAGATATGTACACAAAGCACCAATGCTGTTTAAGTCCTTCTTGGGCGTCAATACCGCAAATCTGCCAGCAGAACAAAAAGGGGGGGATCCACTGGCTTTCTGGCAGATTCAGCTTCATCACACAAGTGCTGTCTATACCGAAAGCTGGAGGACAAAGGATACTGGATATTTTTAGCACGACGCGCATGACAATTTATCTGCTTGATGGCTGTTCTGCTGATTAAGTCATAATTAAGAATACTTTTCATCCCCATTGGATTAGTTTGAAGGAACACTGCTGATTAGCTTACAAACCCACAGGATTTTGGGAATGGTCACATGGGTGAAGGTCATGGGTCATAATTGAGGACAGCAGAGGAGGGTGGGCTTATGGTAACTACATTACATACACAATAGCTTGAGTGAACATGAGTATAAGGACTAGTTTTGTACAATTTGTGTTGGTACAACTTTTTGATAGTGGTGAATCACTCGCTGTTTGGGATCCCAATGGAGGGACCTTTCATTGTACTCTTTTACTTTGGATCAATGTTCTTTGCTATTATACATATTGGGTTTCTTATCACCACTCTTGACTAGTTCAAGACCACTTTAATGTAGAAAAGTAATTACCTGCACTGTTGATTCTTTTCTTTTATTTTTTCCGTATGAATGATTCCTGAACACAAAGCGTGCCCAGGGCTATGAAGAAGGGAAGGTGAAGGCTAGGAAATAGTAGAACCTCTTGACTGCATATATTTTCTTTCCTCCCATTATCCTTTCATAGAGTATGTTCCGTAGTGTTGTTTAAAGATTAATGCGTATAAATGTGTAATTGAAGCGAGGAGGCCCTCCGCTGACATGGTTGATTAGGGGGTCCTCTCATCCTGTTGTGCCTGCAACCCAACAGCAGGAGAGCGCGAGAGAGAGCGAGGGAGAGAGAGAGAAAGGGAGAGGGAGCGCTCCAGGAACTCCCATAGTACACCTCTCCCAGGCAGGGAACAGTGATCAGTCAGATTCTCGCTCACTGCACTAGAACCGGTCAGCCATCACCCTCATCTCTCACAGAGTAAATGCCATTTGCCTCTGTTTTTTTATTTTCTACTGAAAATGCTATACTGTATTTTCTGGACTTTTAGTTATCCTTTTTCTTTAGCATGGTTTACACACGCCTTGGTGTCACATTGTACATGCCTGTCGGCATGTTACCATGACTGTCCCACTAACCCTTAGGCAGCCCTCAGTGAGTGTTCCTGCCCTTGCAGTGCCAGAGTGCAACTTCCCTCTGCCAGCTAGCGCAGGCCAGGGGAGTAATAATGTGTCATACAAATACAAACCAGAGTGAATAGCTTAAAGGAGGAAGCCGCTGAAGGGAAAATAGCTCTCTCTAAACAGACAGAAGGCCTGCTGTACTCAAGCAGAGAGTGGAGACGACACGTAAGTAAGACATAAAGGAAGAAAAATAAAAGCCTGGACATTTGCTCCACCGTCTCCTTTATTTACTGGCGCTCTACAGTCATTCAAAGGAGAAACATACACTTTCAAACAACGGGATGTACACAAGGTGTAGCTTTTCTGGGGGAGGTGAACTTAAATTATAACAAAACCTTCAGATGTCCCAAAACTAACACCCAAGCAGTTTCACCAGCCTGTATTACAGTGGTGTGACCTCTTAACAAGGCTCCTCACTGGAGAAATGACACTTGGGGGGAGAGAACCGCCCATTGCGAATTAAACTTGTAATTGCACTACGGATAAATTATCAAGTAACATTGGAGAGTTGGAAGGAGAGGAGAATGTTAAAGAAGCGCTTACTTTAGCACGCATAAGCCAGTCCTCAACAGATTTGTTTCCCCCAGAGTTCCCCCCTCTCAGCTTCACCACTACTTACCATACCGGCGAGGATTGTAAACAGAGTTAGGAATGAGCCAACCTGTACTACTCTCCTCTCCCATCCTCCTTCCCTCCCATAACAGCTCACTCTGTACACCCCCCATATTCAAATACTGCAGGTATGAATATGGATAGTTGCTGCTCACTGTACTCTCTCTCCATCATGCTCCCTCAGAGTGGTGTTAAAACTGTATGAGCCAGTGGTAAAGGAGAGCTTTGAGGGCTCTCCCTCCAAATGTGCATGCAGGACTTCTAGAAGGTAAGAGAAAGAAGGGGTATACCTGAAACTATAATGTGACTATGTGGCTCATGCCTGACCTGTGTTACCCAGGCTTGGAAAGAGGAGGGTCAAGCATTGTGAATGAATGTAATGCAACGAGTGCCATTTTATAAAAAACACTTCTCAACATCTTTGAGATCTATTAAGATCTTTAAGATCTGTAAAAGGGTGATCGCTCTTTCAAAATGTCTGTGAAAAGGGCGCTATGTGAGTGGGTATGGCAGTTGTATTGTAGATTATTTGTCACTTGTCTTTCTTTCTGGTTAAATAGTAAATACTCTTCTGGAGCACAATAAATGATTTTAATAAGCTGAATTAGCATTGCTGCAACTCTTTTTTCCCTGTTATGTTTGTTCAATAGGCTGATTTGATTAAATTGCAGAGTAGACACTCACAGTTAAAGAATGCTTGACTGAACTGAACTTCAAACAAGCCTGTAGTTACTCACTTGTCAGTTGGTCTGTCACACACTGTTGGGTTCCTTTGCTAGGGCTGTATAGGACTTCATGTTGATGTATCCTAGACCTAGACTTAAAACAGAATCTCCGAAAGTGGACTTTTGCATGGCTAAAGTAACCAAATGAATACAACCAACAATATGGAAAAACAAAATGACTCTTCTGAAGGTTAATGTACACACCAAACATACACTTTCCGTTTTCACATTGGTTATACAACAGACATTCAGCTAATGCGCGTCACAATTTGTTTTGTATACACTGTGTATCATTTTTACAAGTAACAGAAGCCCCAGATATAATATCCCCTCAAACCATAATGTAATATAAAATGTATCAGTGGAAGGTTTCTCAGTTGCTACCTGCTTGGAAAAAGTACAAAGGCTTTAGACAGTGCCATTATTTTCTGGCATACTGTATTTCCATCGATCCTGTACACCTGTCACTCCTCGTTGCTTGTTGTACATGTTATGAACTTGAAATTTGATTGTTGAACACTGAAAGAGGAGCAAATATCATTGCTGGTAGAGATGTCCTCCCTTACATTTTCTCAGTCAGCGTGTAAGGAAAAATAAAATTCAGCTAGTTAGTCTTCAGTATCAAAGTATTTAATTTTATACATACTTTAGAAAAAGGATATAACTTATATTGTTTTTATCTGACTTTGTCAACTCCTTTGATCTGAATGAAGAAAAAATACCTACAGTGAGGGAAAAAAGTATTTGATCCCCTGCTGATTTTGTACGTTTGCCCAATGACAAAGACATCATCAGTCTATAATTTTAATGGTAGGTTTATTTGAACATTGAGAGACAGAATAACAATAAAAAAATCCAGAAAAACGCATGTCAAAAATGTTATAAATTGATTTGCATTTTAATGAGGGAAATAAGTATTTGACCCCTCTGCAAAACATGACTTAGTACTTGGTGGCAAAACCCTTGTTGGCAATCACAGAGGTCAGACGTTTCTTGTAGTTGGCCACCAGGTTTGCACACATCTCAAGAGGGATTCTGTCCCACTCCTCTTTGCAGATCTTCTCCAAGTCATTAAGGTTTCGAGGCTGACGTTTGGCAACTCGAACCTCCGGCTCCCTCCACAGATTTTCTATGGGATTAAGGTCTGGAGACTGGCTAGGCCACTCCAGGACCTTAATGTGCTTCTTCTTGAGCCACTCCTTTGTTGCCTTGGCCTTGTGTTTTGGGTCATTGTCATGCTGGAATACCCATCCACGACCCATTTTCAATGCCCTGGCTGAGGGAAGGAGGTTCTCACCCAAGATTTGACGGTACATGGCCCCGTCCATCGTCCCTTTGATGCAGTGAAGTTGTCCTGTCCCCTTAGCAGAAAAACACCCCCAAAGCATAATGTTTCCACCTCCATGTTTGATGGTGGGGATGGTGTTCTTGGGGTCATAGGCAGCATTCCTCCTCCTCCAAACACGGCGAATTGAGTTGATGCCAAAGAACTCGATTTTGGTCTCATCTGACCACAACACTTTCACCCAGTTCTCCTCTGAATCATTCAGATGTTCTTTGGCAAACTTCAGACGGCCCTGTATATGTGCTTTCTTGAGCAGGGGGACCTTGCGGGCGCTGCAGGATTTAAGTCCTTCACGGCGTAGTGTGTTACCAATTGTTTTCTTGGTGACTATGGTCCCAGCTGCTTTGAGATCATTGACAAGATCCTCCCGTGTAGTTCTGGGCTGATTCCTCACCGTTCTCATGATCAATGCAACTCCACGAGGTGAGATCTTGCATGGAG